TTTGCCTAGAGTGAAATTCGTCTCTAACTCCCAAACCGGGAACTCGATTCGAGCCCCGTCTTCTCCCACAAGTCTCTCGTGCCTAGGCGGTCGTGTGTGCCAAGTTTCATGCTAAACCGACACCGTTTGGTGATTTTGTGGCATTAACTTCTCGAATTCAAGTTTCTTAAGGAACTAGTTTGCCTAAAGTAAAATCTGGTTCTAACTCCCAAACCGGGAACCAGATTCGAGCCCCGTCTTCTCCCACAAGTGTCTCGTGCCTAGGCGGTCGTGTGTGCCAAGTTTCGTGCTAAACTGACACCGTTTGGTGATTTCGGGGCGTTAACTCCTCGAATTCAAGTTTCTTAAGGAACTAGTTTGCCAAAAGTGAAATCTGGTTCTAACTCCCAAACCGGGAACCCGATTCGAGCCTCGTCTTCTCCCACAAGTCTCTCGTGCCTAGGCGGTCGTGTGTGCCAAGTTTCGTGCTAAACCGAAGCCGTTTTTGTCATTTTGGGGCGTTAACTCCTCGAATTCAAGTTTCTTAAGGAACTAGTTTGCCTAAAGTGAAATCCGGCTCTAACTCCCAAACCGGGAACCCGATTGGAGCCCTATCTTCTCCCACAAGTCTCTCGTGCCTAGGCGGTCGTGTGTGCCAAGGTTCGTGCTAAACCGACGCCGTTTGGTGATTTTGGGGCGTTAACTACTTGAATTCAAGTTTCTTAAGGAACTAGTTTGCCCAAAGTGAAATCCGGCTCTAACTCCCAAACCGGGAACCCGATTTGAGCCTTGTCTTCTCCCACAAGTCCCTCGTGCCTAGGTGGTCGTGTGTGCCAAGTTCTGTGATAAACCGACACCGTTTGGTGATTTTGGGGCCTTAAGTCCTCGAATTCAAGTTTCTTAAGGAACTAGTTTGCCTAAAGTGAAATCCGGCTCTAACTCCCAAATCGGGAAGCCGATTCGAGCCCTGTCTTCTCCCACAAGTCTCTCGTGCCAAGGCGGTCGTGTGTGCCAAACTTCGTGCTAAACCGACGCCGTTTGGTGATTTTGGGGCGTTAACTCCTTGAATTCAAGTTTCTTAAGGAACTAGTTTGCCCAAAGTGAAAATCCGGCTCTAACTCCCAAACCGGGAACCCGATTTGAGCCCCGTCTTCTCCCACAAGTCTCCCGTGCCTAGGCGGTCGTGTGTGCCAAGTTTTATGCTAAACTAACACCGTTTGGTGATTTTGGGGCGTTAACTCCTCGAATTCAAGTTTCTAAAGGAACTAGTTTGCCTAAAGTGAAATCCGACTCTAACTCAAAGTGAAATCCGGCTCCAACTCCCAAACCGGGACCCCGATTCGAGTCCCGTCTTCTCCCACAAGTCTCCCGTGCCTAGGCGGTCGTGTGTGCCAAGTTTCGTGCTAAACCGACGCCGTTTGGTGATTTTGGGGCGTTAACTCCTCGAATTCAAGTTTCTTAACGAACTAGTTTGCCCAAAGTGAAATCCGGCTCTAACTCCCAAACCGGGAACCCGATTCGAGCCCCGTTTTCTCCCACAAGTCTCCCGTGCCTAGGTGGTCGTGTGTGCCAAGTTTCGTGCTAAACCGACGCCGTTTGGTGATTTTGGAGCGTTAACTCCTCGAATTCAAGTTTCTTAAGGAACTAGTTTGCCTAAAGTGAAATCCGGCTCTAACTCCCACACCGGGAACCCGATTCGAGCATCGTCTTCTCCCACCAGTCTCCCGTGCCTAGGCGGTCGTGTGTGCCAAGTTTCGTGCTAAATTGACGCCGTTTGGTGATTTTGGAGCATTAACTCCTCGAATTCAAGTTTCTTAAGGAACTAATTTGCCTAAAGTGAAATCCGGCTCTAACTCCCAAACCGAGATCCCGATTCGAGTCCCGTCTTCTCCCACAAGTCTCTCATGCCTAGGAGGTCGTGTGTGCCAAGTTTCATGGTAAACCGACGCCGTTTGGTGAATTTGGGGCATTAACTCCTCGAATTCAAGTTTCTTAAGGAACTAGTTTGCTTAAAGTGAAATCCGGCTCTAACTCCCAAACCGGGAACCCGATTCGAGCCCCGTCTTCTCCCACAAGTCTCTCGTGCCTAGGTGGTCGTATGTGCCAAGTTTCGTGCTAAATCCGGCTCTAACTAGTCCCGGCTTCTCCCATAAGTCTCTTAACTTAGAATGTAAAGAATGCAAAGATACATTTTAGCTTAGAATGCAAAGATACATTTTATACCTGATCTTCTGGTGGTGGTATATGTAGATTCTTGTCTTCTGCAGATTCCCTAAATGCCCGATGGCCACTCGATGCATCAGGAACCTATGTTAGTCAATGCATAATGTGTTAATCATATTCGAATTTTATACATAATCTTGAGTGAAAATTGAACTATCAAACAATTTAATTTATATGGAACCTGTCTGTTGGGATCCACACTCGCCCCCTGTGACACAAGGGCCATCATCTCAGCTCTCATCTGCCGCAAATGTGTAGAGAACTCTGCTCGCAGCTCCTCCTTCAACTCATCCCTTAACTCTGCACGAACCTGCTGCGTGATCTGATCAATAGTCGATGGCTGGGGTGTTGACTGTGATGGCCCAGTACCATCTTTATACACCGCTCTCTGAGGCACAATTCTCCTGTATGTGCGACAATTTCCATGTCCGTCATGACCTATCAACTCATGGAAAATGGCATTCCTAGCGTCCAAAGTCTGACCATCCTCAGGTAGCATAGAGAGTTGACGATTAAACTCATCCTGTATTGAATAAGACATACAAGTATATGCCAAATTAAGATGGTTGACACACAAAAAATAAACTTTAAATACAATCAAAGGTGTTTGGAAACTACCAAGGTCTAAATAACCTTTGGGTCATCTACTCTACGTGTCATAAGCCAAACATTCATCTTATCAGTAGACTCCCCCTTACTGGTCATCTGCATTTTTTTAGAAATATGAAAATTAGAATGTAAATAATTTGTAAATATACAATGTTTCTTTATATACAAAAATAAAACAATAAAATGTAAACCTCATGCCGTATCTGAGAGAAAGTAGTACGCCCTGTGGTATGAGCTATGTCGTGAGCTCGCCGATTTTTAGTGTTCCTACTTGCAATTTTCTATAACAGGTTCGACAAATGTGAGTATGTAAATATGATTTTTATGTTTACATATCATAAATATAACTTATTTGTATGCCTCAGCATCGGAAGTACGCCAATACTCCACAAGTTCTTTCCACTGGCTTGGCACAATGTGCATAGGAATATCATCCTTCAGATTAGGATCAGAACTTCTAGGCTTGAAACACTTAGCCTTAAGCTTGTTCTTGTGATCCTTCCATATGCTGTTGCAGTTTTTCATGCAGATTGGCTTGTACTCCTCTGGACATATATTCAAATTGTCCTATAAAACACAATTTCAAAGTTTAAATAATAATAACACAATTTTGGAATTCGAATTTGTGGACAAAAATATACTTTTACCTTCACATCCTTCCAGATAGCATCAATAATATCATCAGGCACATTATTCCAGTCAAAAAAAGTAAGAGGAACAATGTTACCATTCCGCACAATAATGCCAAGTTAAGTAGTTAACTTAGCCACATTATCCCCTATTGGGCAGTAATTTCCATCAAATTGTATGTCTAGCTTTTTACCAGTACCCCACTCTTTAATGCCCTTGGCACATCCTCTACCACGCCTAGTCGAGGTTGATGAAGAACTAACATGACCTGTGAGATACAATAACAATAAACAATATGCAATGGTAATAAACAAATGCAAATTTAAATAATGTGAATACAAATCATATCAAATAAACCTGAGGTGGGCTGTGAAGAAGTCGAAGGGTCTGCAAAATACAATGAGAATAAACAAGTTATATATAATGAGCATAAATAAATGTATGCTTCAATAATTTTCATACAAATCAAAGCAAATTTATATACCTGCGGATGGCTCATAAGCTGATGATGATAGCTGCTGTGGTGCCACTGATGGTGGACGCACCGATGGTAGGTGTGGAGGCTGAGTACATGGTAGATGCTGTGGTGCCACTAAAGGCCCCTCCGATAGTGGCCGATGTGATGCCTCCTCTAATGGTGGTGCTACTGATGTCCTATTATGTAGCACATCAGACATCATGCGCCGGGGATGATCAAGCTTCCTCTTCCTTCCCATAATAATCTGTAAGCAATATAACATTAAGGAGAACCATTCCCTCAATAGTTTTCTATTCTTCCTTGAGCTGGGTCCTTTCTTTATTTTCTTTTAATATATATACTTATTTCTATTTTATTCTTTTCTTGGACTGGAGAACCATTCCCTCAATAGTTTTCTATTCTTCCTTGAGCTGGGTCCTTTCTTTATTTTCTTTTAATATATATACTTATTTCTATTTTATTCTTTTCTTGGACTGGAGAACCATTCCCTCAATAGTTTTCTATTCTTCCTTGAGCTGGGTCCTTTCTTTATTTTCTTTTAATATATATACTTATTTCTATTTTATTCTTTTCTTGGACTGGAGAACCATTCCCTCAATAGTTTTCTATTCTTCCTTGAGCTGGGTCCTTTCTTTATTTTCTTTTAATATATATACTTATTTCTATTTTATTCTTTTCTTGGACTGGAGAACCATTCCCTCAATAGTTTTCTATTCTTCCTTGAGCTGGGTCCTTTCTTTATTTTCTTTTAATATATATACTTATTTCTATTTTATTCTTTTCTTGGACTGGAGAACCATTCCCTCAATAGTTTTCTATTCTTCCTTGAGCTGGGTCCTTTCTTTATTTTCTTTTAATATATATACTTATTTCTATTTTATTCTTTTCTTGGACTGGAGAACCATTCCCTCAATAGTTTTCTATTCTTCCTTGAGCTGGGTCCTTTCTTTATTTTCTTTTAATATATATACTTATTTCTATTTTATTCTTTTCTTGGACTGGAGAACCATTCCCTCAATAGTTTTCTATTCTTCCTTGAGCTGGGTCCTTTCTTTATTTTCTTTTAATATATATACTTATTTCTATTTTATTCTTTTCTTGGACTGGAGAACCATTCCCTCAATAGTTTTCTATTCTTCCTTGAGCTGGGTCCTTTCTTTATTTTCTTTTAATATATATACTTATTTCTATTTTATTCTTTTCTTGGACTGGAGAACCATTCCCTCAATAGTTTTCTATTCTTCCTTGAGCTGGGTCCTTTCTTTATTTTCTTTTAATATATATACTTATTTCTATTTTATTCTTTTCTTGGACTGGAGAACCATTCCCTCAATAGTTTTCTATTCTTCCTTGAGCTGGGTCCTTTCTTTATTTTCTTTTAATATATATACTTATTTCTATTTTATTCTTTTCTTGGACTGGAGAACCATTCCCTCAATAGTTTTCTATTCTTCCTTGAGCTGGGTCCTTTCTTTATTTTCTTTTAATATATATACTTATTTCTATTTTATTCTTTTCTTGGACTGGAGAACCATTCCCTCAATAGTTTTCTATTCTTCCTTGAGCTGGGTCCTTTCTTTATTTTCTTTTAATATATATACTTATTTCTATTTTATTCTTTTCTTGGACTGGAGAACCATTCCCTCAATAGTTTTCTATTCTTCCTTGAGCTGGGTCCTTTCTTTATTTTCTTTTAATATATATACTTATTTCTATTTTATTCTTTTCTTGGACTGGAGAACCATTCCCTCAATAGTTTTCTATTCTTCCTTGAGCTGGGTCCTTTCTTTATTTTCTTTTAATATATATACTTATTTCTATTTTATTCTTTTCTTGGACTGGAGAACCATTCCCTCAATAGTTTTCTATTCTTCCTTGAGCTGGGTCCTTTCTTTATTTTCTTTTAATATATATACTTATTTCTATTTTATTCTTTTCTTGGACTGGAGAACCATTCCCTCAATAGTTTTCTATTCTTCCTTGAGCTGGGTCCTTTCTTTATTTTCTTTTAATATATATACTTATTTCTATTTTATTCTTTTCTTGGACTGGAGAACCATTCCCTCAATAGTTTTCTATTCTTCCTTGAGCTGGGTCCTTTCTTTATTTTCTTTTAATATATATACTTATTTCTATTTTATTCTTTTCTTGGACTGGAGAACCATTCCCTCAATAGTTTTCTATTCTTCCTTGAGCTGGGTCCTTTCTTTATTTTCTTTTAATATATATACTTATTTCTATTTTATTCTTTTCTTGGACTGGAGAACCATTCCCTCAATAGTTTTCTATTCTTCCTTGAGCTGGGTCCTTTCTTTATTTTCTTTTAATATATATACTTATTTCTATTTTATTCTTTTCTTGGACTGGAGAACCATTCCCTCAATAGTTTTCTATTCTTCCTTGAGCTGGGTCCTTTCTTTATTTTCTTTTAATATATATACTTATTTCTATTTTATTCTTTTCTTGGACTGGAGAACCATTCCCTCAATAGTTTTCTATTCTTCCTTGAGCTGGGTCCTTTCTTTATTTTCTTTTAATATATATACTTATTTCTATTTTATTCTTTTCTTGGACTGGAGAACCATTCCCTCAATAGTTTTCTATTCTTCCTTGAGCTGGGTCCTTTCTTTATTTTCTTTTAATATATATACTTATTTCTATTTTATTCTTTTCTTGGACTGGAGAACCATTCCCTCAATAGTTTTCTATTCTTCCTTGAGCTGGGTCCTTTCTTTATTTTCTTTTAATATATATACTTATTTCTATTTTATTCTTTTCTTGGACTGGAGAACCATTCCCTCAATAGTTTTCTATTCTTCCTTGAGCTGGGTCCTTTCTTTATTTTCTTTTAATATATATACTTATTTCTATTTTATTCTTTTCTTGGACTGGAGAACCATTCCCTCAATAGTTTTCTATTCTTCCTTGAGCTGGGTCCTTTCTTTATTTTCTTTTAATATATATACTTATTTCTATTTTATTCTTTTCTTGGACTGGAGAACCATTCCCTCAATAGTTTTCTATTCTTCCTTGAGCTGGGTCCTTTCTTTATTTTCTTTTAATATATATACTTATTTCTATTTTATTCTTTTCTTGGACTGGAGAACCATTCCCTCAATAGTTTTCTATTCTTCCTTGAGCTGGGTCCTTTCTTTATTTTCTTTTAATATATATACTTATTTCTATTTTATTCTTTTCTTGGACTGGAGAACCATTCCCTCAATAGTTTTCTATTCTTCCTTGAGCTGGGTCCTTTCTTTATTTTCTTTTAATATATATACTTATTTCTATTTTATTCTTTTCTTGGACTGGAGAACCATTCCCTCAATAGTTTTCTATTCTTCCTTGAGCTGGGTCCTTTCTTTATTTTCTTTTAATATATATACTTATTTCTATTTTATTCTTTTCTTGGACTGGAGAACCATTCCCTCAATAGTTTTCTATTCTTCCTTGAGCTGGGTCCTTTCTTTATTTTCTTTTAATATATATACTTATTTCTATTTTATTCTTTTCTTGGACTGGAGAACCATTCCCTCAATAGTTTTCTATTCTTCCTTGAGCTGGGTCCTTTCTTTATTTTCTTTTAATATATATACTTATTTCTATTTTATTCTTTTCTTGGACTGGAGAACCATTCCCTCAATAGTTTTCTATTCTTCCTTGAGCTGGGTCCTTTCTTTATTTTCTTTTAATATATATACTTATTTCTATTTTATTCTTTTCTTGGACTGGAGAACCATTCCCTCAATAGTTTTCTATTCTTCCTTGAGCTGGGTCCTTTCTTTATTTTCTTTTAATATATATACTTATTTCTATTTTATTCTTTTCTTGGACTGGAGAACCATTCCCTCAATAGTTTTCTATTCTTCCTTGAGCTGGGTCCTTTCTTTATTTTCTTTTAATATATATACTTATTTCTATTTTATTCTTTTCTTGGACTGGAGAACCATTCCCTCAATAGTTTTCTATTCTTCCTTGAGCTGGGTCCTTTCTTTATTTTCTTTTAATATATATACTTATTTCTATTTTATTCTTTTCTTGGACTGGAGAACCATTCCCTCAATAGTTTTCTATTCTTCCTTGAGCTGGGTCCTTTCTTTATTTTCTTTTAATATATATACTTATTTCTATTTTATTCTTTTCTTGGACTGGAGAACCATTCCCTCAATAGTTTTCTATTCTTCCTTGAGCTGGGTCCTTTCTTTATTTTCTTTTAATATATATACTTATTTCTATTTTATTCTTTTCTTGGACTGGAGAACCATTCCCTCAATAGTTTTCTATTCTTCCTTGAGCTGGGTCCTTTCTTTATTTTCTTTTAATATATATACTTATTTCTATTTTATTCTTTTCTTGGACTGGAGAACCATTCCCTCAATAGTTTTCTATTCTTCCTTGAGCTGGGTCCTTTCTTTATTTTCTTTTAATATATATACTTATTTCTATTTTATTCTTTTCTTGGACTGGAGAACCATTCCCTCAATAGTTTTCTATTCTTCCTTGAGCTGGGTCCTTTCTTTATTTTCTTTTAATATATATACTTATTTCTATTTTATTCTTTTCTTGGACTGGAGAACCATTCCCTCAATAGTTTTCTATTCTTCCTTGAGCTGGGTCCTTTCTTTATTTTCTTTTAATATATATACTTATTTCTATTTTATTCTTTTCTTGGACTGGAGAACCATTCCCTCAATAGTTTTCTATTCTTCCTTGAGCTGGGTCCTTTCTTTATTTTCTTTTAATATATATACTTATTTCTATTTTATTCTTTTCTTGGACTGGAGAACCATTCCCTCAATAGTTTTCTATTCTTCCTTGAGCTGGGTCCTTTCTTTATTTTCTTTTAATATATATACTTATTTCTATTTTATTCTTTTCTTGGACTGGAGAACCATTCCCTCAATAGTTTTCTATTCTTCCTTGAGCTGGGTCCTTTCTTTATTTTCTTTTAATATATATACTTATTTCTATTTTATTCTTTTCTTGGACTGGAGAACCATTCCCTCAATAGTTTTCTATTCTTCCTTGAGCTGGGTCCTTTCTTTATTTTCTTTTAATATATATACTTATTTCTATTTTATTCTTTTCTTGGACTGGAGAACCATTCCCTCAATAGTTTTCTATTCTTCCTTGAGCTGGGTCCTTTCTTTATTTTCTTTTAATATATATACTTATTTCTATTTTATTCTTTTCTTGGACTGGAGAACCATTCCCTCAATAGTTTTCTATT